AGTGTACTGCAACCTTTTATTTGTGGATGGACATATTGACTTGCTCATGTTTCAGCCCAGTGCGTGAATCCCAGAATGGCAGGAGGTTAAGGGCAGACAGCTCTCAGTTCATGATGAAACAGTCAGAGACAGATTGGAGCAATATTTCTAGGCATCACTCTGACACAAATCCCCTCTGCAGGACGCTGGAAGCAGACTAGGGTTGTGTTGGTGTGGCATCCACTCTCACAAGCCATGCATGCTGATGCCTCCAAATGTCAGCCCTAAATCTTCTGAAAGTGTATTGCTCTTGAAGTAGAGCCCAGAATGCCCTCACCCACAGACTATGAAGGGCTCAGTGCCAGCAAACACAATCGTGCCAAACAGCATGGCTCATATACCAGTATCCTGATTCAGCCCTCTTTCCACGGCCACCTCAACAAGCTAATGGATCAATGTGCTATTTTATTGCTGGAATTACATTTTGGTTTAAGTAAAACACAGCTGATTTCGTCATTACCTTTTCTCACTGAATTTGCGTATTTGGCTATTCCTTGATTTCACTGTGGGGTCAATAAAGTGCATGTATCTTATATAAAACTCAATCAAACCAGCCTCCTGATGATTTCAGGCTCTTGTTCTTTTAAAGGGGTCATTTGATGCTACATGCACTTTTACAAGTTGTTTGAACTGAAATGTGTGTTGGCAGTGTGTGTACACAACCACCCTATAATGATAAAGATCCACACAGTGCTTTTTTAAAATCTCGTTAAATCTTTACCCCTTTCTCAAATCGAGCCGATCTCAGATGCCTGTCTGTGTGACGTCACACAGTCAGGCCCCTCCCACGATAGTTTGATTGACAGTAGCGTTTCAGCACAGACTGGACTGGTGTCTTACCTCAGACCCGCCCTGAGTCAGCTGTCATCAGTCAGCCATTGTTTGACCGCCGGAGCAGATGTAGACAAGAATGACTCCTAAGCGATTGAGGTGTTCTGTTGTTGGATGTAATAATGAACATAGCAGTCGTCATTTACTCCCGACATCTGAGCCGCTGAACTCGCAGTGGATTATGTTTGTTTCTGAAGGGAATGCGCCCCCGATCTACCTAAATGCGTCTATCTTCACACGAATCATTCGTGATCCAGCTTCACCTACAGAAGAAGTGAGTATAAGGTTTTTTAATGAATCTTTGCAAATCGCCTTTACTAATAATGTGCTAATTAGCAAGCAAATACGGTGATGTATACAAATTTTCAAGGCCTCTTGTATTTCCAACTATGGTTTTTGAAGGAATGTTTTTTTTTTTTTTTTATACACATATTAAAATATGTTAAGTGTCCATTTTTATCCATAAGTCTTTTTTCAGATAAATTTTGGGCACTGCAACCTCAAAGATGTACATGCATTTTCATTTAGATTGTACAATGTTCTGATGTAACCATTTGTATTATCTGCACAGTTTTGTTTTCAATAGAATGGTTTCAAAATTTAAAAGAACACACTAGCTGATATGCTTGTGAACTCATAACACAAAGAATTCATATTTAATTGATGCGTTGTAGCCAAGTATGGTGTCCAATACTCTGAAATGCTGCATTTCACCCATCCAAGTGCACACACACAGCAGTAAGTATTGACCACACACACACACACACACGCACACACACACACTGTGAACTCACACCCGGAGCAGTGCCCTGTTGAAAAAAAACAGCATATGCTGGTTACGTATGTTTTGAAGCATGACAGCTGATTTGAGCTGGTTTAAACTGAGGAATTGGGGGTTAGGTGCCTTGCTCAAGGGAACCACAGTTGTGGGTAATGAGAGTGGAAGAGAGTGCTGTTCATTCACTCAACTGCTCCACACTTCAACAGCCTTCAACAAAAGTATAAATGTAAATAAAGAAACACTCACTCCAACAGAAATACAAATTTAAAGAATTAAGACATTCCAACAGAAGTACAAAAACAAAGAATTGAAAAACCTCAACAGAAGTATGTACCATGTTGACACAATTTCATATATGATATGTCTGCTTTTGTGTGTGCAAGTGTTTGTATCCAACTATGTGCTTAAGTGTGCGTAACGCATTCTTCTATATTTGTGTGCATGTAAGTGTGGGTCAGAGCAGGCGTGTTTGTTCACAGGCAGGTTTTATATTATATTAATAAGATTATGATTAATGTGATTGTTTAATGATTAATTTGTTAATTATTTAATCAGTATGATTTGGAATTAATATGAACAATTTTAAGTTTGTTTGTATCCATGTGCTTGGGTGAACAGATGGCCAGTCTATCGCAGGAATGTAAAGATACCCATGATTAACCAAAATTAAAATATAGAAGACCAAACTCTTGGTCTCCCCAACATTTTTACATTTCAATTTAAATGCATTTAGATGTACTGTAATTAAGTAAAGTAAAACGTTTATTCAGAACTAATCAGATGATGGCTGGGTATGTCCAATGTTATGAATTTGGACAAACAGCGATCATTTCTTCCGCAGTGTCCAATTCAACGAGTCTTCCGCTCGCCCACTGCAGACCTCTAACCATTGTCTATAATATATTATTAAAAAAAAACAGAAAGAGTAAAGTCGTGTCTGAAAGCTCTATACATTCAACAATATTATTGATCTGACTGTACTGACGCTGCTGTATGAAACTGAACTAAGCTGACATCACAACCAACCTACTTTTATAGATGAAATATGAACTAGCCTAATTATTATAATGAATAATAACTGATTCAGCACTGAACTGACAGCTGAACAATGACAATATATTATTTATTTTTTTTGCTGATATCACTGTAAAGCTGCTTTGAAACAACCTGTATTGCGCTATATAAATGAGGGTGACTTGACTTAAATCCGTGGGCGTGCGGTGCCCTATGCCGCCCATCAGCGCGTACCTTATGACTTGCCTTGAAATTATGGACTGAAAAGTATCCTCTTCCACATTGTCCGTTAGACACAAGTGAGCGCATTCCTGAAAAATTAGCATGCAATTGTTCACAAAATTTCTCAACACCATGGTTCCTCTGCCGCCTGTATTTTGAAATACTATACTCCTCCTTCATTCGTCATTATCATGTGACCATAGATAGCGCTGACATGCGACCACGTACTATGGTGGTACATACATGGCACGTCTATCGCAAGCCGTTTTAGCATTTAAAAGTTTGTTTTGACTATTTGCCATACACGTCACATTTATATGCATTATTCATTAATGACATGTCCTTAGGTAGATATTTATGTCACTATTATATGTTTAATTAATTGTATGCAAAATTTCAAGTCTTCAGCCTTGCCATTGGCCAAAACATTAACGTCTGTACACGAAATAACGTGTTTAGACGCAATTACGCGTCCACGCGTTATATCGTCTGTACACATAACGTCTAAAGAAGTATTTGTCTTTACGGCCTTCCATAAAATAAGTATTTGTCTTTACGGCCTTCCATACCATAGTTGATCGCCGTCTGTAGCCGTGCTTCAAGTCGAACGCACCTATAGACATAATGACGATAATAATAATCGCGAGAATTCGCGCGAGAACATCGTCTGAGGCAGCTGCAGTCAAGATACGTAAATAGCGCCATCTAGTGCACTTCACTTTTGTTAATAAAGACAATTTATAAGACAGTACAAAGCTGTTTTTACACAAGGTTCCATCTTAAAGTTATCTAAAATGAAATTACACTTTATTTACATTTCAAATTATTTTGGTTGAGGTTCCAAAATGCAATAAGACATGTCCCATCTTTATTGGATAAGTCATTTACAACCCAAATTAGATATGAGGTCAGTGGTTTCACCAAATTTTCAGTCCCGAAGACTTAATTTAACTGAGGAATGACTGCAGTGAGAACAGCAATGGACAAATTAGTCTATCAAAGGACGGGTGAGGCCTCTGCTCATGTGGACCAATGTTAAGATATCTTGCTCTTCCTGGTTATGTAGCTCTGGTAGTAAAAGTTGCTGAAGAGTATAATGAGGCTGACGCAATATGCAAACACAACTGCATTCATGGAATCAGGAAAATCACACTCGGTGAAGAGGTTGTAACCAGTGTGGATAGTCAGCAAGACAAACTGGACCTGTAAAGAGAAGTTGTTCAACAGTCCCGCTGATGTTATGTTTCCGTTTTTAATTTTTTAATTCTTATTTTAAAAATTATCATCTGGCCTTCTACTAACAGGACATCTGTATTGAAGCAATTTACAAAAGAATAAAAATTTGTGAAACAAAATGCTCTGATAGACTAAAAGTGAAAGACTAAATGAGCAGAATATCAATGTGTTGTGTATTTACCAGCTGTAATGAGGTGAGGTAGCGCTTCCACCAAAGATATTTCTGCATGTGAGGCCCCAGGGCCGCCAGGCCATAGTATGAATACATCACTATATGAACAAAGGTGTTCAGCAGCCCGATAAAAAATGCTGAATGAATAGGCAAAAAGACACAAAATAATGAAACAGTGCATATTAACTGTAGTCACTGAATATATATGAATTATTTAATGTTTCTCTCTTACATTGACCTCCCGCCACAAATTTAACTCCTGCCCACCAGTTGAAGATCATAGTTCCATGATGATACACATGTAGAAAAGTGAGCTGGCTGTTCTTTTTTCTTAGGATAAAAAAGACCTGAGAGAGGAGGTTGGGAGGGAAAGCTTCTTTATTTGAACTGTATGTCTAAAACGGGTGTAAATATCTGCAACAATCATATTTTTTAAATGAGTCAAACTTACTGTATCACTAAGCTCAATAACTTTAGAGAAGAAGAACCACCAGCATACACTGGCCATCTAAAAAGATACAGTAATAATTAGGTAACCAATGCATCTTTACTGGAAATCTAAAAATAACGATAACATCATAGGTAAATTTGATTATGGTTTGGAAAACAGGAATGACTGATTATTAGCAAAGAACACTAGGCAGCTAAACAGAAAATGAGAGAGATGTAATCACCCTCATTCCTAGAATACTGGGGCTGTTGTTTCTCTCTTACATTGACCTCCCGCCACAAATTTAACTCCTGCCCACCAGTTGAAGATCATAGTTCCATGATGATACACATGTAGAAAAGTGAGCTGGCTGTTCTTTTTTCTTAGGATAAAAAAGACCTGAGAGAGGAGGTTGGGAGGGAAAGCTTCTTTATTTGAACTGTATGTCTAAAACGGGTGTAAATATCTGCAACAATCATATTTTTTAAATGAGTCAAACTTACTGTATCACTAAGCTCAATAACTTTAGAGAAGAAGAACCACCAGCATACACTGGCCATCTAAAAAGATACAGTAATAATTAGGTAACCAATGCATCTTTACTGGAAATCTAAAAATAACGATAACATCATAGGTAAATTTGATTATGATTTGGAAAACAGGAATTACTGATTATTAGCAAAGAACACTAGGCAGCTAAACAGAAAATGAGAGAGATGTAATCACCATCATTCCTAGAATACTGGGGCTGTAGTCCACAGGTTGACACAGATAACTGTAGTCTGCCAGCCAAGATGTGACCAAGAACTGTGGAAAGTAAAACAGATTTCAGATTTGATGTCTAGGTTATTTTAACGTAAGACCTTGAAATAGTATGCACCTATATTGGACTTAACTAGAGTATGTATGTGTGAAATACAAAATGTACCTCATGGAACATGTAAATCGACAAACCGACCATGGCAAAGTTGTATACAATAAGCACTGCTTTTAGGTTCACTGGTTCCGTGTGTTTCATAAGCTTGGGTCCAATCCAAATAATACCAAGATAGCACAAAAACATACAGATGATTGGTACAGGAGAGTAGATTAGAAGCCATGGGTCCGTCCGCGTATCTGAAATGCCATGACAGAAAACACAAGGAGTTTTGCATAAAAGTGCATTCTATAGATTATTATATTCATAATTTATGATGTAACGTTTCTCTAGATAGTACAGTAAAATACAAGGTGTAAAATAAATCATGCTTATACAACACGAAAAAAAGCATACCCCCATTCTCCAGAATCCAGCGGTGCATGGATTCCACTCTCTGCCATGCTGATTCCATAGAGGACTAGCCTATGCTTTATCATAAAAAAGACTAGACTAGCATTCAGCAGAAGAGGGTAAAACATGTATAAAGAGGACTAATATATCCCGTGTTTGTGTGTTCTTAATAATACATTATATACAAAAAATGCGAAGGGTTGCATACCTTAAGGAAGTAGATTTGCGGTCTTGTCCTTGAGGGATACCTTCTCCCTATGCAGGCTGCTCTTGTAATTATTGCAACTTCATTTTAATGACAAGGCGTTCAACTTATTGACAAGAAATTTAACGTACATGGGATATTTTTATTATCTGACTGCAATTGTCTTCTTATCCGTATAGGGATTATTTCACATTTAGACAAACGTTCGCAATCAACATAAATTGACCGGTGAACTTACCTGAGGAAAAGTACAGGTGTATCGCACTGTGTGGAAGAGTTCAGTCAGTCGCACGGTCAGATAGGAACTTTAAACTTCACACAAAATTATTTGAGTAACATGGGAAATCGGGTGTTATCAGTTGTTATGCAGAAGTGCACAGAATTATTGGAAGAAAAACTTTGGACTGCACCCAGTTTTCATAACTCACATTTCACATTTAAAAGTCCCACTGGAGCTGAGAAAACAGACACATTAATCTGAAATTTAAACAAATAGACGGTTCCTTGCCGCTGTCGCCTCTGGCTTGCTTAGTTGGGTACACTTCATTTCCAGCGATATCGTTGATTTGATTGCAAATGATTGCAAAGATACTATTTAGACTGAACTGAGCTGGATGATGACATCGCTGAATTCAATGATGAACTGCCTTTAACTGAAAAATTAGTGTTTACTATTGTCATTTTGCATTATTGACACACTATTTTCCTAATTAATGCTGTTCAGTTGCTTTGACACAATCTGTATTGTTAAAAGCGCTATATAAATAAAGGTGACTTGACTTTATCAGGCTTATTATACATTTATTATTTATTTAAAAACACAACTATCCCTCTAAAAAATAAAACTTTAAAGCTGTAGGTAATATGTGACACTCTTAACATAGCAAATTTACACGATGACTACACATTGACCATATCAAAATCGTAAAACCTTAATATACAGACAGGCTTTTGTCAACAGTTTTGGCTTTTGGCCTTTGTCTTAGAGGTAGAAAAGAATTTACTGAGGTAGAGTTGTTTGGGTCCTTCGTTGGTAACAGCACCCTTAGGCTTTTTTATTTTGTTTGACCGTTTCTCAGGGCTGGGTTTTCTCTTCTTTTCCTGAAAAAGTGTGAAATGTTAGGATAGGGCAAAAACAGAATTTTAATATCAGTAAGATATGAAAAATGAAAATAACTCAAAAACACCAAACAGTGCAAAATATGAAGCACATGCAAACTCAGGAACACTTACCTTGCTGTCCACCTTGCTTGAAGATTCATAGAGCTTCATAATCTGTGTAATTGAAAATACAAGATCTTTACATACATGTGAATGACAGTAACAACATGGTTTTAAAAAAGTCTTTCCAAAAATATGCGTTTCTTGTACACACAAGATTTTTTGTACACCCAAACAATTTTTTTGTAGTTTTAAGGTTAGTTTGGCTTTGCTGTGAAACCCATGAAAATATACACAACCTTTTTAACCCCAGTGGATACAGCCGCCTCCTTCAGAGCAGATTTAGTGAGCCAACAGGTCTTCTGCTCTTGCTCTCCTTCTGACCAGTCAGACACATGCACGGAAAAGACTATATAGGTTTGATGGATGTGGGAGAAAATATGCACCACCTGACAGAGAACATGAAAGACATGAATGAATATCAAACACATGCATTGTAACCAAACGTGCACATCATCGCCGAAGATGCAAATCAAATATTGAGTAAATTTGGATTATTCTAAACCCAAGATGATACGTTTTGGGGAAAACACCCACCTCTCCCACAAACTGCACTGAGTTAGCGTCTAGAGATTTTTCCAGCAGTTTTTGCATCATATCACATATCAAGCCTTTATATTTATTCTCAGAGGTGTCAGCCTCCAAGAGCATGCTGGGTAGCTCCCACATCCCTGCCAAGAGTCCTGCAAGACATCCATGTAATCCAAAATCATATTTTTTCATGATATTTTCTAGAAGTCGTTCATCTTTTTCTCATTCACCCAGTCAAAACTATTGTTTCACCTTTGCTTGGTCTTTGAGTGAGAAAATACTCCATCTCTTCTCCAGCTTGCTGACGTTCCACTATACAGGTTAAGGTTTGCTCCACACGTGGAGCTTTTTTAACAGGCTTTCTTGGGTAATTCTGCACCCCCAGCTGAGGGTCCCAGTCCTCTGATAGACACAAGTCACAGCTGCCAGCAGCCACTGTCAGAGAATGTGAATGTACATTAGACACTGCTTTTGATTTATAGATCTGATGTATGGATAAAAAGAGAATATTTCGTGATTAACAGAGGACTTTACAACTTACAACAATTCTCTATGTCAGGAACTGAGGTGTTGAGCTTTGAGACAAGTTTACTTAGAAGTCTTTTGGAGTCAATCTCTTGTTTAATGCTCACCTACAGTATAAAAGATATAAAATCTGATATATAATAAGTCATTTGACAGTTTTACAAGGAAGCGTTTTGGTGAGAGCTGCTCAGCAGTACCTTCCTAAAGGCATGACAGTGGGTTTGAACGGGACACTGGCCGCACAGAGGGGATTTTGGGGTGCAGACTCTGGCCCCTAATTCCATCATAGCCTGATTAAAGTCTCCGGGTCTCTCTGGGTCAACAAGTGTATCAGTAATTTTCCTGAAATAGACCAATAAAGGTCACAATTAAATCCAACATTTTACAACTTAGATCTAAATTTGCTTAACAGTACATAAACTTGATGGATCTTTCAGTACCACAAAGCATCTGTTACAGCAGGACTGGTGCTGTCTGCACCAATGGCTCGAACGCGACAAAGAACTCGAATGACGTTTCCATCAACTGCACCTGTCACCTGGAGAACAACAAACATCATTGCATCAAATAAATAAACAGCATTTACTGCTAAATATTCACAGTGTTTAATATCCCGACAATGCAATGCTGCCCAAACTGATCTGTGCTGCGCTATTAGTGGAGCACACAAGTAAATTAATTCTATTAAAGGAGTAGGAGTTCCCCAAAGATAGGATCTTTAAGATGTAAATGAGATTTTTTTTATTTAGCATTACCTAAGTTACTCACCAATGGATCCTCTGCAGTGAATGGGTGCCAGAATGAGAGCTGATAAAAACATTACATAATTCACAAGTAATCCACACAAATCCAGTCCATCAATTAATGTCTTGAAGAAAAAAGCTGTGTGTTTGAAAGAAACAAATCCATCATTAAGATGCTTTTAACTTCCTCTATACAAAATATTGTTTTCTCCAGTGAAAAAAGTCATCCGAGTCAGGAGAAAAATATGCACAAATGAGGCACACTTTACAAGTGAAAACAGTCCAAAACAGTTCTAAACTAATATGTGGTTTATCAAGTGAGAGGACAACAGCTTGAAGTTAAAAAATGTCTTCATGATGGATTTGTTTCTTACAAACATGCAGCTTTTCACTTCACAAGATGTTAATTTATGGACTGGAGTTGTGTGAATCACTTGTGGATCATTGTGATTTTTTATCAGCTTTTTGGGCTTTCATTCTGATGGCACCCATTCAATGCAAAGGAGCCATTGGTGAGCAAGTGATGAAATGCTAAATTTCTCATCAAACTCATCAACATCTTTGACAGCTTGAGGGCGAGTAAATTTCAGCAATTTTTTGGTGAACCATTTCTTTAAGAACATGGGCCTAATCAAATGTATCAACAAAACAAATTTACCTGTCCAAGTGCTATAGAACTGATTGCGCCGGCGGTGTAACGTCCAACACCAGGCAGCTGTTTTAGTAGTCCTGCTGTGGTCTTTGGCATCTGTCCATCCAGTTCTGATACTACCTATTGTAAGATTCAACATCTTTTAATATGTGCAGATTACACAAATATATGAAAGCAAACATCTAAATTGCATCTAAATTCTGCATTACTATGTTTAAACCTACTTTCTGAGCACCTTCGTGCAGCCTGCGTCCTCGAGAGTAGTATCCAAGACCCGCCCACATTTGGTTCACTTCCTGCAGGGAGACAATAATACACTGCTGTCAGATGCTCACTATGTCTCTGTCTTTTTATTTTGTGTATGTCTATGGATTTAACTATCACCTCCAGTGTAGCTGCAGCAAGTTTTTCCACAGTTGGCCATCTCTAAAAATAAAGATGCAGAAACAGCATAAAATGTGGCATTCCTGAGGTACTGTGAGAGTAGATGTCAAACAGCTTGCCTACCTTCATCCATCTGTTATAGTAGTCTATCACTGTGGCAACTTGGGTCTGCTGTAACATGATCTCTGAGACCCACACTGAGGACGGCATGAGAATTTTTTTTTTAATAAAATAAATAAATTTACATTAAAAAAAAAAGGATTTAGGTTATGATGATCATGACATTAAAACACTTTTTCATACCTCCATATGTCCTGATATTAACTCCTGATTCTGTCATAGCCTGTATGGATTACAACACACACAGAGACACACATACACACAAAAGACTGATCTCATTTCAAAGTCTTATTTGCATTGAATGCAATTAAACAATTTTGTAACAGTGTTTGTAATAGTCATTAGTTAAGCCACTGACACAAATAACCCTCAAGCATAACTAACACACTTAACCCCACAGTCAACATTTTCCCTGCTAATAATTCCCTGCTAACTAAATAATTTATGTGGTTTTATATAGACAATTTAATTTACCAGTATGATTCATATTTTCAGGCCTACAATAAAACATTTTCTTCCTGCAATACATTAAATGCGCTTTAACATGCAAAAAAAAAAAAAAAAAAAAAAAATTTTAAACAAACCCTCCAATTTGTCCTTAAAAGATCTCAAAATGTTCAAAGATGGCGTACAAGATGTACAGGATGTTCTGTTGCAATCCTTTGCACTTCTTCTAGCTATTTCAAAAAAAAAAAAAAAAAAAAAAAAACTAGCATTGAAATGCCGATCACTTCCAATCGCTTCCAATGAGCATCTCATAGTCACGTGACAAAAACTATGTACAGTCTGTTAGATTAGGTTATTTACTAATTAAGAATATTAGATGCTTTTACCAGTGTCCTCCAGGGAAGCTCTCTCTTATTCTGATCATACCACTGAAGAAGGTGAGAGCGGAAAAGAGGGATTTCAGTTGGATCATGGAAAAAGTGGTATGATGAGGAGGACGGTTCAGTTTCAGATGGTTCCTCTGGTGGGAATAAGAAATCAAACTTAAACATTATAACATTTTAAAGGCAAACATCGAGTTGCCTTGATTTATAACGTTTCTCAATTGCACACAGAGGACCACTCACCTTCTTTAATGGCAGACTTTGATTTCTTCTTATTGCTGGATTTGATCACCTCTGTGTTTTCTAGAGCCGCTCTCTTCCCCTTCTGCACTGCAGATCTTAACCTGCTCATGGCGCTAAACCAATCTTTCACAAATTAATAAACAACCTGTGGGACCCTTAAAACTTTCAGTTAAAATCAAAACTATCTGCACATGGTCGCTATTATAGAAAAAAAAATTACACCGAATTAAACATCAGAACGTTAAAAATCATATATTAAAAACGACATGTACAAAGTACTACTGTTAGTAATACAGTAAGGAACAAACGTGTTTTCACAACATGCAGCAGTACCGCTCCCGCTCGTCGCAGTCTGACGTCATCACGCGGGCGTGGTTTTTTGGCAAGGACAAGGAGCATGCGCAGTTTACACGCTCCGTGAAGCCCGCAAACGTGTGACAGCGGCACCATCTGCGTAGATCTTGTTGAATTGGTTTCATTTTCGCGCATTTCTAACAAGAATGATATCACGTCAAGCACTGTAAAACCGAAAGTAAAGACCTGCGGAAACATCGTTTTGAGGCTTTCACAGTAAGTCGAGAAATACTTAAAATACCTAATACTGCATCTTTACTTTTCATCATTTTAAATCATCTAACTTACTCTTACAGAAATTAACTATGGTTTTTACTACAGTAACCATAGTTTAACTATGAATTTGTAGTGAAACCATAATAACCACTAATTTTACAATTATCTCACTAACGGAACCATAACAATAACATTCATAGTAAAACGGTAACTAACAGATAGTATTCAATAATAGCTAACGTTACACATTTCTCTCATATTTAACACGTCTGTTTCGATACTGCGGTCGATTGCAGATATATCCATAAACTGAATCTAGTGTGACAGATTAAGAAGGCAAATATACACAGCTTGAAATGGTTTACAGTTAAAATCCATGCCGATAGGTGCAAAGGCCGTTTAGCGAAGTCGGGGCACACATGTTTGCATCGCCTCCGGGCAGCTATTTCAGTCATGGCTAGACAACAGTCCTATCTACTTGAATGGGGGAGGACAGATCTTCCTAATAGATGCAGATGTCGCTGGCAAAAACCATAGTTAATAGCAGTGCAGACTCTTGAGGCGCTAGGCTCGAGAGTCCACGATGGTATATGGGAGTGCATTTTGCCGAAAAGATATGGAAGGCCAGATTGACAAATATTTCTTTAGAACATTGTTTATCATGTACAGACGATTATGTGTGTTTACTGTAAGGCTGCTTTGCAACACTACAACATTTTAAAAAGTGCCAAAGAAATAAATTTGAATTGAATTATCCACAAAAGAGGGTAGGTGTAAAATGTCACCAAAAATAAACAAGAGTCCAGCCTGATACTTCTATTAATTTTTGGTTTTATTTTACATTTACATTCAGCAGACACTTCTCTCCAAAGCGACTTACAAATGAGGTGACTTACGGTTTTTTTTTAGGACTGACAGCTGTTTCTTTTGAATGAGATGAAGAAGATCAGCAGTGCTTCTGTAATGAGTGTCAAGGAGATGGAGGAGGACACTGCAGCATCTCCAGTATCCAGCTGTGTGTCTATGGAGAGTGATGAGTCAATAGTTATTCTGCCTAATCTCAGTGATGAAACACTGACATCTGACCCTGGGTAAGACTAAACTCATACTGAATCTCCTTGAAGCATACATGAACAATTTTCATCATATTCATTGTCATGCTCTAAGACTACAAATACAGAAAGCAGTATATTCAGAATCTACAGTTTGTCTGTAAATATGAAATCAGCCAGCTTGCCACTTGTGCAAAGACCTTCAGGACTATGATTTGCACCAGAATAATGCAACTGGTTAAAATGTATCAGCCTTTGATTTAAAAATACAAAATCAAGTTAGAATATAATAATACTCATGAGACTCATTGTACCTGTAGTCATCATTAGCAAATATGTTTTCTATGCTCATTGATCAGTGTGATTCAGAACGGTGTGTTTGTTCAGTATTCAGAGGGATGTTCTGATCCAGATTCAGTCCAGATGTGGAGTTTGTGAGCAGGTTCAGACAGATGCAGTCTCTATCACCTGTGGACACAGTTTCTGCAGACACTGTATCAACCATTACTGGGACCAGACCAGAACATCAGAAGACTTTGATTGTCCTCAATGTAGAAAGAGATCAAAAACACGTCCTGTTCTACAATCACACAAACACATGGAGGAATCTAGTTCTGCTGGTTCTGCTCACCACTGCACAGAATCAGACCTGCTGGAGGAGACTGAAGACCATCAACAGGATTCACATCAACCAGTGGATGATGTTCTGCAGAGAGTGAAAGACAAACACAAAACCAGCATGAAGAACAAGTATGATAGTTTATTTGAGGGAATCAAAGTACAAGAAAATCAAACCCTCCTGAAGAGAATTTACACACAGCTGTACATCATAGAGGGAGAGAGTGAAGGAGTGAATGAAGAACATGAGGTTTTACACATGGAGAAAAAGCCCCTAACACAACACTTACAAGACACTCCAATCTACTGCAATGACATCTTTAAAGCCTTACCTGAAGCACAATATCAAAGAGAGAAAATCAAGAGTGTTCTTACTAAAGGCATCGCTGGAATTGGAAAAACAGTCTCTGTGCAGAAGTTCATTCTGGATTGGGCCGAGGGAACGGCCAATCAGGACGTAGATTTCATCTTTGTGCTTCCGTTTCGAGAGCTCAACTTGATCCGATACGATCACTACAGTCTTCACAAACTTCTGCTTTATACATCTCAGCTTTCAGGAGTTCCTTGCTGCTCTCTATGTGTTTTACTATTACAACAGCCTAGGCACTTCACAGTTTTTTGATGTAATTTATACTGTACTGAAAGGTGCAGTGGATAAATCCCTTCAGAGTAAAACTGGTCATCTGGATCTTTTCCTGCGATTTCTGCTGGGCATCTCACTGGAGTCCAATCAGAGACTCTTACAGGGTCTACTGACACACACGGTGGACACCTCAGAGAGCATCAGAGAAACTATTACATATATCAAAGACAAGATCAAAGATGGTCGGGATTTCTCCACTGAACGATCCATCAATCTGTTCCTGTGTCTGCTTGAAGTGAATGATCAGACTCTGTACAGAGAGATTGAGGAGTTTGTGAGATCAGACAAACACTCAGAGAAGAAACTCTCTGTTGCTCACTGTTCAGCAATAGCCTACATGCTTCAGGTGTCAGAGGAGGTGATGGATGAGTTTGATCTGAAGAAATATAACACAACAGAGGAGGGCAGAAGAAGACTCATACCAGCTGTCAACAACTGCACAAGAGCTCTGTGAGTAGAGCTTATTAAAATTCAGTTTTAAGCAATATCAAGAGTAATTAGACTAATGTGGCTGTATCACCAAGCAATACAGAGATTAAGAGTTTGGTGTAGAGTGAGAGGAGTGACAGAAAGGGAAATGTGTAATACCTGACAACTTTGCCAAGTGGACAGTTTTCAGATCTATACAGTAGACGTTTAGTGCCTGATTAATATGCCACAATACAATATGAAATGTGTTGAGGATCATGATTACTTTCATGATAAGTTTCCACACTGCTTACACACACTGATCTGGACCACAGTTTAGAGACAAAAGTCCCTGTTACTAAATATCAATACTGTTGGAGCACTGCCTCTCTTACATGTAACAAAAATGTTTTGAGATCATAGGTTTTAAAAACCTATGAAAATATAAAAAAAATATATATATTGGTTTGGAAATTATTTGAGATCTGTTGAGAGATGAGAGAAAGTTCTGCAAATCAAATTAACTTTATTGTGTTTTATTTAATTTTTTGTTATAGTCTTGCTGACAGTAAACTTACTCATCAGTGTTGTGAAATCATCGCTTCAGCTCTCCAATCATCAAACTCTCCTCTGAGAGAACTGGATTTGAGTAACAATGACCTGCAGGATTCAGGAGTGAAGCTGATCTCTGATGCTCTCAAGAGTCACAACTGTCAACTACACATACTGAGGTATTTATCTCTATACACTGACTTATCAAAGTACTCAATTAACTGTATATAAACATGTTGTTTATTTCCTGTAGGTTGTCAGGTTGTATGGTGAGCGATGAAGGATGCCATTATTTGGCTTCAGCTCTGAGTTCAAACCAGTCACACCTGAGAGAGCTGGATCTGAGCTACAATCACCCACAACACTCAGGAATTCAGCTGATCTCTCATCTAAATGATCCAAACTACACACTGGAGACACTCAAGTATGTACAACTTAATTTAGGTTTTATCTGATTTCTAACATTAGGGTCCCTAATCAAATTCAGTAGGTGTGCATTAAAACTGTCTACAAATCTTTCTTTTTTATTTTTAGGAAACTTTGGAGGCAATTTACTACTATTATATTTTTTTATGTTTTGTGTCAAGTTACATTTTTTTTACATTCCTGTATAAGATATTTTTCCCTATTTTGGACTTCTTTAATATGACTGCAAGTGAATCACTATTGGGCAAAAGAGTTTAAAAATTACTTTGTGTGTCACTGTAGTTTGGACCATGGAGGAGAGAGCAGGATTACACCAGGACTACGAAAATGTGAGTTTTTAATCACATAGACATACTGTACATAGACATATCCTCACGTACCAATTGTTGTCAACTGGGTCATTGTCAAAAAAATATAAAACTTTATAAATTTAGTTTTGTTTCTTGTTACTTATTACTTCCTCAGAGGAGATATATACATATCTTAATATCTTTTTTTGTTGTTAGACGCTTGTGATTTCACGATGGATCCAAACACAGCATACCCTCAACTTGTTCTATCTGAGGGGAACAGAAAGGTCACACGTGTGAAAGAGTCTCAGCCGTATCCTGATCATCCAGACCGATTTGATTACTATTGTAATGTTTTGTGTAGAGAGAGTTTGACTGGACGCTGTTACTGGGAGGTTGAATGGAACGGACAAGGAGCTCGTACTTCAGTGGTTTATAAAGGAATCCGCAGGAAAGGCATGAGCAAGGACTGCTGGTTTGACTACAGTGAAAATTCCTGGAGTTTGACCTGCACTCCTAAAAGATTCACTGCCTGTCACAATAGTAATAAAACAGACATTCCTGCTCCATCTCCTCTCTCTAATAGAGTAGGAGTGTATGTGGACTGTCCGGCCGGCACTCTGTCCTTCTACAGCGTCTCTGACACACACACACTCACACACTTACAAACATTCAACACAACATTCACTGAACCACTCTATGCTGGACTTATGATTTATCCAGACTCATATGTGATGTTGCTGTGATCCCCTTAAACATACCTGTTATTAGGCTTGCCAACTTTGTCACTATGAAATATGGGATAAAAGTTTTTCGATTCTTTTTAAATTCTTACTGTAGTTTAAAAATGATCAAATGAATGAACAAATTTCTGTTCAGTTCTAAGAGCCCTGTGTTTAACTCATTCACACAGACACATACATAAACTTTGCGAATAAATAACAAAATATAACGAAAAGTATGTGTTTGTTTTCACAACTAAAACAATGCCACAGCAAACCACAACATTTGTGAGATGTTTTTCAATGCCATTTCATAGTGTTTTTTGTAGTAAACAGCCTTCTTACTATCTAAACATCAAAGTTTTGTCAACAGTCGGTTATGTCTGTGAAGGTAAACAGCTGGGAAATAAATTGCATGTTTATTTTAGATCTGTGTGGCAGCAGCAATATACAGTAAATAAATCAATCCACTGCTCTCTTGTCTCCTCTGAGGCTGGGACTCTAAATAGTGTTCTGTGCTCGTCTGTGCAGCCAAAGGCAGAACAGTTAGCGTGTTTTACTCAAACTTTCACCATGGCATTAGAGCTAGTACACCGCTGTCGCTTGAGAAATCAAAATGACGGCGCCGTGGGTGTAAACGTACAGATTAAGGGGCGGT